ATGCTTTACCGATTGATAAGAACAACTATAAGCTAACTTCAATGTTATCCACAAACTTCTCAATCAAGTGCCTTGGCTAGAACATTTCTGGAACATGAAAACTCGTGAAGTTAGACAAAAGACTATCAGAAGAGGCAAAATTCAAAGTTTACGCTAGATCCAGCATATTAATGTTTGAGCAAAGTCATCAATATTAGAGAACATTTTAGTGTTTGGGCTGGTTTCAGACTCAAAATTAATATGTAAATACTCGACGAAATAAACAGAAAAAACGGTAAATGGCATTGAAAATTTCCACTCTAGATACTTGAAGAGAATTAAGCATAAAACAGCTAATGCAATTTTCATACACGAATAATGCCTAAATAAGGAGAATATGCAATAGTCCCTAATTATGCTAGTTAAAATCGATGCAAATTAATTAAAAGGTGTCCAAATATTTAAAGACCAAGACTGGCCAAACAAGAATAAGTGCTTCTAAAGTAATTGTATTCTTTGCTATCGGCAATGATTTACTGGTAGTCTCGAAACCCTACTTTCTTATGAATGGAGTAGTAAAGGTATGGGATGAATTCACCCAATTTCGTTTAAGGTGATGAAGGACTGGTAGCAGAATTTTCCCACAATTATATGAGTAGAGTTGAAGTTTACATTGAATTTCGCATAGCCTTGCTTTCCCAAAAGTTTTTCTCATCCAGGCACCAGTGAACTGCAATTTCGACCTCGTATCGGTCTTATCAACACCCCCAGAGGGAGTCGAACAGTGACAGTGCAGAATATGAGCTTGACACGTTAACCACTCGGTCACATCGCCACGAGTGCCATGGGGTCACAGGGCAGATGTGAATTTCAAGGAAGGCCAGACCTTTTTGTCATATCATATTCTTTTTGTTGGGATTGTCGATGAAGCAAACGTATATTTGCTATAACAATCGACTACGTTATTTATTTTTTGTATTTAAGTGAAGTTTTGAGACTACCAGTAAATCAGTAATATGAGATGTATTCACCCAATTTTGTTTAAGCTGATGAAGGACTGGTAGTAGTAAAAGAAATGCCAATCTGAGATAAGTATATACATAAGGTATTCCCAGGAAATTATGTACCTGCATGATTTCACGACTTTATCAAATAGATAAGACCCTGCCATCTGGCTCAGCAGAAAATTATTGAGGAGAGAGCAAGAGCATTGTCGAAAGCTCCATCTTAAGGAAAGACATGTAAATTATCTCATCAGCAGTTTACGCAGGGGGCATGGCTTTAAAATGAAAGCAAGAGGATGCTGATGGTGCATAGATGGCAGTAGTCGCATCAATCAGGTAGATCGGAAATTAAATGAAGTCTCGGACCGAACTAATAAGGCGAGAAGAGTGCTTCTCATCAGCTCAACTTTGAGACAGTAATTGTGCCCAATTCGTAAGGACGATTAAGGCGAGTTTTTTTTCAGAATCAGCTGCACTACATTTTGCTTTGTTACCAACATCCAAAAGCAGAAACTCAATAAAAATTACTTTTTCCTTCGATGCAGTACAGTTGACAGTGCAAATCTGGCAACAAGGCCGATGTGGCTGAATCGACTCACCCAAACCGAACCAACTGAGATTCGAAATGACCAGGACAATGTTGAATCGGATACAAAGACCGGCCAATGTAGGCATCAAGCTGTGCCAGAGATGCGAGAAATGCAGTAACGCTTCACTGATCAGTCCTTTGGTCCAGAATGGAGTGGATCCAACAAAGCAGCCTTCACCATCTGAATTAACGTAATCCTTCTCTGCTTCAATCTCAACGGTTGTTCGCTTTGGCCCCTCCTTCCGATCTGAACCCATTTCAGTATCCACCGCATCACCTCGAAATGTCGCCGATCGGCCCAATGAGTTTCGCCGTAGACAGAAAGTCGTCTCTGCCTCCGGATTACCAAATTGCCCAAACAAAGAAGGACCCTCAGTTGCCGTGCACTCGCTCCAGGTGACCGGACGGAGTGGACAGATGTCAGCCGGCGCTGACAACGACTGTATGTAGGGCGATTGGCGAGATTGGCAAAATAAAACCCGGTTGGAGGCGGTGCCTTCAGGAGAATATACCGAAGAAGTGGTAGTGGTTAGGCAAGAAGGCCGAGTTAATAGAAGAGGATGCAGAGATGAGGCTGGCAGACAGGGCAAGCAGACACCGAACAAGCATAGCGTAAAAGCGACGAGGAAGAAGAGACGATGAAGCCAGGACCAGCTGCAGCCACAGACCTGAACGCAAAAAAAGAAGAGAAAATAGAAAGAAAAGCGATAACAAACTTAAACTTAATGAAATATATACATACTAAAAGTTTATAAACATACGCATCATCGAATGTGATGGTAACTACAACTGCGATATCGATAGCCACACAACAAATGTAATTTTGGAGATAGACTTGCCTTAACAGTTGCATATGCTCCTTGGCCCACTGGTATCGATGACTAATAGCGGAGTGGTAACATGTCTTCACGATGCGCAAGATCCCATTCGGGTGGTTGATGATTCTAAAACGAAATCAAAACTGCAATCCAGCCCAGATGATTAATTATTTTGAAGGAGCGATGGCATCTTGAGTTCATCATTGTGGAATAAATTTCACTTTCAGACACTAAAGTAGTTTATACGACCTAGCGTGATCAAGTTATTATAAAGACCGGACTCGGAATTCTTCGGAAACAATTGTTCTCTTGATTAATTGAATAAATCCGGGTTCCCAAACAACCAAATTAAGAAAAGATGGATATTGATGACTATAAGGTTAGTCACGCTTTTCGACAAAGTATGCATTTGTCAGAAGAGCACATGTGACACTCAGAGCTGGACAAGAAGCCTGGACAAAGTTGCGATAAATCTATTATTAAACACAAGATACATGTCCGTTACTCGGCTATACGCTGAAATGTCAAGCGCAAAAACCGCATGACCCCCAGTTCGCACATAAAGATTC